CAGGAGTTTCGGTATCTGGAGGGAATACTAGAGAGACATGGATATTGTCCCCAATAACCTCCTGTTGCAATGCTTCTGCTAAACCCCGAAGACCAAATTTACTAGCCGAGTAAGCTGTGTATCCATAAATACCTACCTAAACAAAAACAATCCCACATGAAAGATCAAGAACATAGACTCCTACTACCTTCATTGAACCACTAAATGAGCACGCAGGCACGCAAAAGAACAAAACAATATAAATTGATCAGTACCTGGCCAGCCTGGGAAGACATGAGAGCAATCGAACCAGGTCCCCGATCCTTCCTGCTTCTCTTCATTCCAGGTAAGGCGGCTTTAATCATATTGAAACTCCCCGTCAAATTAACATCTATAATGAACCTGACCTCTTCCAATTTCTGCTCCTCCAATTCCTGAGCCACAAAAACCCCTTGATTCACAACCAAGAAATCTATGGGGCCAGCTTCATCAACGGCTCTCTGTACTGCTTCAAAATCTCTCACATCAGCAGCAAAAATTGCCACGTCGATGCCGGTGGACTGTCTGATTGCGTTCTTAGCTTCTTCTAGCTTATCTATGGACCTGGATAAAATTGAGACACGGGCTCCCTCTGATGCGGCCCGGTGTGCCAGGGCTAGACCGATGCCACTGGATCCGCCGGTGATGAAGATATGGCGTTTCTTTATTGGGATTTGGATGGGTCGGGGTCTGGTGATTAGGAATAGAAAAAAGAGGAGGAAGAGAGGGAGAAGGACGAGGGAGATGTAGAAGAGGTTTGAGTCCGCCATTGATGAAGCTCGAGCTCGTCCGAGCGGAGTAGAAAAAAAGCAGTAATTAGGTTATTTCAATCAAGCGGGTCTTTTAGCACGCTAACGTCACGCGGTGTTTAGATTCTTTCAGATGGCCTTTTGTTATTAGGTCAAGATTTATAATTTGGTTTGGATTGAATGTTTATCTAAATTTTATCCGGTTCCACAGCCTGAATGTGTCTGTTTGAGGGCCCATTATGGATCTACCTAGGCCGTGGGCATTGTTGTAGAACCCGGCATGGCCTGGTGCGTGGGTCCCAGACTCCCAGTATCTTGGCCGGGTTTTACAAAACCCTACTCTTTTTTTATTCAATAAACTCTAAAATAAATAAATTTAATATTGTATAATCCTCTGAACCACGTGTCAATTATTAAATTGATCAGCCTACCCTCGCGCTTCTTTTTCTTATAGCCTAAGTCCACGCGCGTTGTTTCAATAAACTAAAATCACAACACATGTATTAGTGAGTTGTATCTCCGCATCGGGATTTGAAAGCACTGGTTCTCAAATCAAAACCAAGGATGTGCGTGCTTTATCTATCACTAAATATCACTAAATTGTTTCTCTTCGACATTGATTACCAAATAAAACCTTTTAGAATAATCGAATACCCAGACAAAATAATCATGTATAAAGCACCATGATCACTTGATGAAGCATAGAGAGAGGACTGTATTTTTATTCTAACCTTTTCGCATGGTTTGCTTTACTTTGATTTGTTTGATGTTTGTGTTTAAACTATGAAGCCGAATGATTAAGGTTTTCAAAAATCTTATTTAGGTCGAAGGTTATGAAAATCCGACAGTTATGAAGTGATCATTTGATAATAAAGAAAGTGATCTGGCACGGAGATGTTGGGATGCTTATGGAACTGATGAAATTGCTCCACGTAATTCTTTTTTATTTTTCGAGGTTAACCTGGGACCTGGTCAACTCACTACATTTCAAAGTTTAAGGTTATTTGAGTTTGAGTTGTAACATAGATCGATTGGATGAGAATCTTAAATTTGGCGTGGCTCTAGCAGGCAGCCATAGATGGCAATTTAAATTTGGAGACTATTTGATAATGTGATAGTTCATGCTTTTGCCCTGTCACGAAAAAAAATTGTTTTATTGGTTATATAATTTTTGTTTTTTGTATAGAGCTCCCGGCATAATTATATTTTAAATATTAATTTTATATAAAAAAAAACTACCATGTTTTTCATTCATGGATACTTATTTTTTATTTTCTTTGCATGCAAAAATTTATTTTATAACAATCTTAACCAGACATGTATATTTTTAAATCACAACTTAGAATGTTTTTTTGAAAAACTACTTTTTAAAACAATAAAAGCTAGTATAATATCAAATATTTAATTTGATAAATATAAGTTTGGATTACTTAAGGGTATTTCTTTAAATAATTATTTTATAATAATAACAATAATCATAACAACAACAACAACAATAATAACTAATTTTATTATTCAAATTAAATTTATGATTTTTTTATAGTAAGAATAATTTTTTCAAGTTTATTATTAATAATATATATAATAATATTAATTATATTAGATCCATGTTTAAGTTGGTCTGACGAGCATATCAAATCTGTCATGTTTGGGACGACAAGCTTGTCAAGTCCATTTTTTTTTATTTTTTTTTCTCTTTCTACCCCTCTTAAAAATTACACTTGATATTCAGAATTTTAAACAATAAAAAAAACAAGACAAGAGGGGCTTCCAATCCAAAAGTCTTGAAATTTTGTACTGTGAAAGGTAAATTAATATTTATATTGCAGCCTGAAAAACCCAGATAAATCATTTTATTTCTAATTATTTATTCAATATCAAATATATCATATAAAAAAAAAATCTCATCTCCAATTGTATGCTTGGTAAATTTCTCTGGTAAAGACAAGTCCATCATTAAATTGCTCTAATTCATAATAATTTGTGTGTAGTTGAACAATATAACATTGATCTCATTTAGTATATTGTTTAATAACATTAACAATAATAAAAATATGAATTTGAATATTAAAAATAATAATATTAATTTTTAATTTTATCCTTCAGGTTAAACTTATAATTTTATTCAATAATAATATTTAAAAAAAAAACATTAATAATAATGAATATGATAATATTTATAATATTAATAATAATATTAAATATGTCTGATTTAAGTTTGAGTGAATCTAACAAATAACTAAACTTATTTTTTTTCTTTATCCTCTTTAAAAATTATGCTGACTATTCAGAATTTTAGTCTTGTATTTAAATTATTTTAATTAAAAAAAACCTTTAACTCAAATGTTAAAATTTCATGTCCTAAAGGGTAAATTAATAACTTTACTGCAGTGCAAAAAATTTGAACAATTAATTTTGTTTTTAATTATTTTTTTAATATCAAATAATAAAATAAATAATCTCATTCAAAATTGCATTTATAGCAAGTTTTGTTAATAAAATTAATTATATTATTACACTATTTCAATATACAGTTATTCATGTCGAATAGCAAAACATTTATTTCTTTTGGGAAATTATATAATGTTAAAATTAGTTTATTAAAATAATTGATTTTTAACTCTCGATATGTCACCTGCTCATTTGCCCTCGCGTGTTCCCCTGTGTAACCTTTTCGGATTTATTAAAGACCGGTATTTTTGCCTTGCCTAGAAGTGCAAAAGGAGATGGTGGTGGTGAAATGGTTGCAGCGATTAAGGTGGGGGTGATAATGATTGAAATAACTTGAAGATATTATATAAAAAATATTATTTATAAAATATATCATGAAGAAAATATTTTTTTAGTGAGTAAAGTAAGTTTGATAGTTAATTGAAAAATATTTTATATTGATTAATACTTTTATAAAATATTTTAGGAGAAACATGTTAAAATATTTTTCATAAAATATTTTCAAGAAGTAAATACAGAAAAATCTATAAAGTCTTTTCATGTAAAATATTTTACATTAAATAAATTGACTCTGAATTTTTTTTTAAATAAAAAAAATAAAAAATCAATTAAATATTATTTTAAACCAAAAATATTTTTTAAAAATATCTAAAAGCATAAGAAAAGGTTGTGTTAAGCACTTTCTTAGATAGTGTTTGTTTATACAGGTTTTCCATGTTTTTGAGAATTTTTAATTTTTTTAAGCTTTGAGTTATTTTTTTATTTTTAATTGTTTTAATATATCTATACTAAAAATAAAAAATATTATTCTAATATATATTTAAATAAAATTATTTTAAAAAATAATACATGCCGCAATTCTAAACACGATATTAATACCAAAAAGAGATTTTGTGTCTTTTTATTTTTATATTTTATATTTTTTAAATATTTTATATTTATTTTTAATTTAATATTTTTAAATTATTGAGATTTATGCTATGAAAATGAGGGAAAGGGGAGCCAGCCCATATACGAAACAAATCTCCATTAGGACGGCCGAGAGGTCAAAAGACGACGATGGTGGCACAGGCCCAGACTTCATCAAACTAATCTCAGAGCATCTCCAATGGAGATGCGGAACTGTTTATTTTTTATTTTTTTAAACATAATTTTAAAAAGATTTATTTATTTTTTTATAAATTTCAAATTAATATATTTTTAGTATTTTCAAATTATTTTAATATATTGATGTTAAAAATAATTTTTTAAAAATAAAAAATTATTAGTATATATTTTGACATGAAAAACTATTTAAAAAGTAACCATAACCACATTTCTAAATAAATTCATATAAATAATCATAAATAAAAAAATTAATATTTTAATATTTTTATTTATTTTTTATACTCAAAAGAAAAACTAAATAAAATATTAAAATACATTTTCTTTCCCTCAAATACTATTTCTGTATATTTCTTAAAAAACTAAAACTAATAAAGTAGACAATAAAAGAATAAGCGAATTAAATCTAACTATATAAAAAAGATAATATTAAAATTATTAAAAAATAAAATATTTATTTATTCCACGTTAATAAAATTAGCTTTTCAAATATTTTTTTATTAAAAGATATATAATAAAAAAAACTATATTTATATTATTTAAAATATCATCTTTTTAAAATAATATTTTTGATTGAAGATGCTCTCACATTCTCGAAGCACTAATGAGCAATGCCCGCCAGACGGGTAAGTTCGAATCAGGTGTCATCTATCACGTGCATGAACACAATGATTAGCACGGGCGGTAATGAGAGGGACGTTATTGGCTAACCGTCGCGGGGTGCAGAGATTCCGGCAACTCGCGATCACAGCCGTTAAATCGTCGAAGATCAAGCTCCTTCTCCTATGCTGCATCGCGTTTACGGTACTCGTGGTCGGTACCCGCTGGTCCGATTTTATGGGATGGACTGATTACAGCGATTCTGTTGATCAGTTTCTTTTTCCAGAGTGCGTATAACTAATTACTAGAAGTGGTGATAATTATATACCAATCCTTTCCATTTTTAAAGTTAGATGAGATTTTTTTTCTTTTATTATCATTAACCATGAATCGTTATCGAAGATTTATTCAGATTTGGTTAAGAAATGACTTTAGTAATTCTTACTTCTTGTCAATGAAAGTGAACTTGGAAAACTAATTTGTCTAGCAAGGAAGTTTCGTGAATTGACTTAAATGTGGGTAGTATCAGTAATAAAGCCTTTAGTTTTTACTTTTATACATGTGCGTGTATGCTGAACTGGGAAAGTTCATTCTTTTTCGGTGTGTGAGGTCAAGAATTTAAATAATGAAAATTTATATATTTGCTTTCAAACCAGATTAGAGTGGACAACGAGAAATGACAGTTTGGAAATGAGAAATTTGACCTGCTTTCATTCCAAAGATGAACAGCAGAGTTGGGAAAGGGGCATACCTTGATGTTTGTATCTTTAGGATGCATAGTTTTTGAAAAGTAAGTAGGAATAGTATGTAATGGAACTGAATCCGTCATGGAAAAATCAACTTTAGGGGTTCAATGTTCCAACCTGCAGAAATTGAGTTGGCCATTGCTCCGATAGAACACCAACTTCCTTTTAATGTTATGATATCTTTTCCATATTTAAGCATGATTGTTTGGTGTTTGTGTCAAAATTGAAGTAATTTTGCATTAATAGATCGAGCCCTTCATGAATCTAACTAAAATTATTAGTTGCAGAAATGCACTGTAATGTTTCAATAAGTGAAAACATCTATCAGTAAATTGTTTCTTTTATTTTTTAGCCAGAACTCAGAAGTTGGAATATGTTTAGAACTGCCTTGTTGATATCTCTAATACTCCATGGTTTTTTTTTTTTTTTGAAAAAGAAGATATTCTTAATACTCTGCATTATGGCAGAGCATGTTAGATCTTATTGTTTTGTGATCAATTATATCTTTTTATACAGGAAAGGATATGCTATTGTAATGAACACATGGAAAAGATATGATCTGTTGAAGCAATCCATTTCTCACTATTCATCATGTGCAGGGCTCAAATCTATACATATTGTGTGGAGTGAGCCCAATCCTCCTTCAGATTCTCTTTCCAAATTTCTAAACCATGTGGTAGAATCAAAAACGAAAGGGCTGCATAAAATCAAATTGAGTTTTGATATCAACAAGGAAGACAGCTTGAACAATAGATTCAAAGAAATACCTGGATTGAAGACAGATGCTGTTTTTTCGATTGATGATGATGTTATATTTCCTTGTTCCTCTGTGGAGTTTGCTTTCAAGGTTTGGCAAAGTGCCCCAGATGCAATGGTGGGGTTTGTTCCTCGTGCCCATTGGGTTGATAAATCGGTATGGCTTCTTGAAGATCTTGCATTTCATATTCTCTTTTGCCCATCACTTTCAAGTTTGCAGTTACTTCATGTGACATTTATGTTTGGTTTTGATATTTCCAAGCTTCACACACACACACACACACACACACATCAAGCTCAACTTTGTAAGGAGGATTATGTTTGTGTCAGAACATATAACTAAAGTGTGGTTTTTGCATGCTGAAAGGCCTTCATGGGTTATCTTCTGGCCAAAGCCATTTTCTTATTTATGGTGTCAAGACCACACACGACCCTGTTTACTCAATCTATTTCTAATGTTCTTTTATGTTCTTTGTCATGGGCACCATTAGAGGAAGCAGCACTAAATGATGACATGTTCATATATCAATTTGAAGGCAAGTTTTAGGAAGCATTTACTGCTTCATAACTTATTGAAAACTATATGTTTGTGCATGAAATTACAAATGTAATCATTAGTTCAAGACAGTTATGAACTCTACCTAGAAATCATTTGTTTCTTGAAGTGCCAATATGCAAATTGTAATCAGGCACAATTTATTCCATTTGTAATTTATTCTTTAGCAATTTTTTTAACAATTTGGCATGATTGAGGATAAAGGATTTTTCGTAAACCATTTCATTTTCTCAAACAATGTGCAGCAAGGAAAAAAAGATTACTACACATACGGTGGATGGTGGTCTGTGTGGTGGACAGGCACTTACAGTATGGTACTCTCAAAAGCAGCTTTTTTCAACAAGAAGTATCTTAGGCTGTACACAAATGAGATGCCAGCATCAATCAAAGAATTTGTGACCAAGAATAGGTTTGTCTTGTACTTAGTTTTTTACTTGGCCACTGTTTGTGTTATATTTATTCAATGGCTACTATTCTTCTTAATCTTGGAATGGATTCACCAGAAATTGTGAAGATATTGCGATGTCTTTTCTTGTTGCAAATGCAACTGGTGCCCCCCCTATATGGGTGAAAGGTAAATGATCTATCTTATTGTAGCTTTCATCTGTTTATCCCCTCTAATTTCATGATTGCTAATATTACTAGTACTTTCCTAATTTAAGAGGGGTGTCATGTTATGAAATGCTCTGGAATGCACTATGTATTTTTATATAAAATCATGTGCAACGAAACTACAAAAAAAGCCATTTCTTGAACTATTTTAGTGGTTAAACTTGAAACTTCTTCTTCACTGCCAAAAAAGGGATGATAGAAAGATTTATTCTTTTGTGGCCATTAGAAAATTGTGTTCTGTTATTAGCTCCTGCAAGGCTAAATTCACTGATTTCCCTGGTCAGCTTGCCTTATTCTCACATCTGGTGGACCATTTTTTTTGTTTCCTTGTCTTTGTATTTACACCATGTCTTCGCTTGTTGCTGTGTCATAGAAATAATTGATATTTCTATTTTTCTTTGTGAGCTAAGGAGGTGAAAAATGATGTCATCCAAGTAATAATGTTTCAGTTAAAGCGAACGCAATGGTCTTCATTCATTATATGCTAAAACCATCTGCATCAGACCAGGGTTGCGAATATATCTACACCAATGTTCTCAGTTCATCAACTAAGTAATAGACTAAAATTAAGTAAAGATGATATACTAAAAACACTTGCACTGTCTCTTACCATATTGGAGGATTTTTTTGCAAGATAGTGTGCCAGTGAGCAGTCTTTGGAGATTCTGTACTATTGTGCATCAACTCTAATAGGGCATGCATCTTATTATACCATGTCGTGCTAGAGTGATTTTCTGTGAATTTGATAACACACAAAGTTGTAATGTATCTTGGTTTGCAAACATGTAGTTCCATTTCTAAGGGTCCAATCAAGGAGAGTGATGCAAACTGTGCATGACACTTCCAGGTTTTAATAACATTACCTGGACATTAGTTGGTTTCTTTCTTGAGCCTTAGACCCAAGGTTGGCTGATGAAAGTACCTAGCTCTTAAAATATCATGTCTTCTGGTATAACATGGTTTTTGTAACTTGTTCCATGTATAAAGTGTGCCTGCTGTGCTCACTATTCATCATACCTCTGATGAAATTTCAATTCCAAATTGTAAATTTTGTACGAAAATACTGAAATTTGTTGTGGTCTGGCATGGTTGAGTAATGGAGCTTTAGGTCTTGGTGTACAGGAGTTTTATCATTTTTACATATCCACAGGAAACTTTAGTAACTTTGTTTCTCTATGGGTGGGATGTAAGAAATAGGAGAAGCATGATACTGGGGCAGCTTTATTTCCACTCTGTGAACACCATTGTTTACTTCCCAAACCCCGAATAAGCCCTACTGCTCCGTTTTGGTAACTATCATTTATCAATAAGCAGCGCGTCTTGGTGAATGCTAGAACTGTGCGCCAGTTATGATCTGGATTTCTGTTCAAGACACATTCTGTCAAATCGTGTAAAATTTACCTTTTCAATATTTCTGAACCTTTTCTATTGTTGGAATCAGCAACAAGGGAGACGAAATTCCCCCCACCTGTTGCATCCTTAAAAATGCTTCTGCTTTAAATATTGCTTTGAAGATTTTAAACGATAATTTTTTGTTATTTCTCCTCCTTATTTGTTTGTGACATGGAAATATTTCTATTTCTTCTTGGCTGTTGAAATTTTAGGTAAGATACATGAGATTGGTTCGACTGGAATTAGTAGCTTGGGAGGGCACAGCGAAAAAAGAACGAGATGCCTCAATAGATTTGTTGCTGAGTTTGGGCGAATGCCCCTGTTACCCACTACTGTTAAGGCTGTTGACAGCCGCATTTCCTGGTTTTGGTGATACTTGAGTTTCCACTATATTTAATTGCAATATTTCCACTTTTTCTGGCAATCCTTCCAGTGATTGCAGTTCTTTTTATTTCGAGTTGTGCAACGCTATGTTCTACCCTACTGGTCTCTTTCCGAGATGGAAGCTAGATCAGCGTGACGCCCCAGAATGTTTACTTGTATTCTTACCATATAGCGTAACTACTAGGGAGTCGAAGTTTGAGATGGTTACCCTTTTGTCTTCTGATGCTGTAATTTTGGTTTAGAACGGGCCGCCATCGCTGTAATTTTGACTATCCTAGGCTAAATCATACATAAGATTTTGATGGTGTGCTCTGTTACGCCATACTTGTCAATGAGCAGCAGAATTAAATAAATGCATCTTGTCATATTCTGTAGACAGACATTTTTAACGGTGCAATCAACAGGACAGCTTGATGCTAACTTGTTTTAAACATGCACCCAAAGCACTACAGGTTAGAGATGCTTTTCAGGCGTCCTCAGAAATTAAAGTGGAAGAAACTATAAATTCCGTATCTAGGTTGACAGAATTGTCCCGGTTCATAAGCAGATATTTTCCAGGCATGCTAGGGATTTGTGATGCACGTGAAGAGACCTATCAACTAACAAAGGATTATGCATCCAAGCAGTTTTGAACTGCAGGACTCTCCTAACTTGCAAGGGAAATGTTTTTATTGTTAATGGCTGTATGAGACAGACTCTCAAAACCCGCCGCTTAGTATTTTTTTAAAATGTATTTTTATTTGAAAATATATTTAAAAAATATTTTTTTATTATTTTTAATATTAGCAAATCAAAAATGTAAAAAAACTAATTTGAAATAAAAAAAATATTTTTTCCAAATGTTTTTAAAATACAGAAATAAACATGTTTTTACTATACAAATTTAATCCATGGAAAGGAAAGGAAAGCAAATGCTTGTGAGGAAATAAAATAGAAGCCTTGTAAAATCAATTCCAGTACTATCATCTTCTTTAGAGTAACTCCCCCCATCTTGATCTAGGACTTCTCTGGACCCTACTTTCCTTCCTGTTTTTGCATCAAGCTTGTAAAAAAACATGTTTCCATCATACACTGGTGAACACAGAAATATAACATCAACCAAACAGCTTGTCTGGGTTTGTTGCTTTAACACCACGTCATCGCTCAAAGCAAATGCCAATGATTTTTTTTTTCCTGGTCCGTGTTCTGATTATTTTAGCCCGGTCAAAGTCAGACCACTTGAAACAAATGTAGACATCATCCCTGCGTTTTGTGGTTGGAGACTTGTGAATCCAGTATTATGCCGGCTCCAGGTTTCTTGCCACAGACCAAGTGCTGCTATTTTCCACCACTTCTACCATTTTTATATTGAGTTGGAGTGCACTAATGGTTCTCAATACAATCAGCTTGACATAATTTCAATGACTAGGTAGCTGTTTAGATTCAGTTGTTTGGTAAAACAGATCATGCATGCTGGGTATCTGAATACTTTGATGGTCTTTTTTGTTCTATTCTATTTTTTTTTGGAGACAAAATTTGACTTTCATGATCATGGCAGCTCATTGGGGGTATGATCCTATTAAACAGGAAATGAAGTGAACGATTTATTAGTCAATCTGACATTTATTTCAACGGCGCCGATCCCTTTCTTCCCTTTTCATCATCCTATCAAACTAAGGTAGCTGCAGAATTAATATCCTCTGTGATATTTTGCAGTGATTCCCGCTCTCTCAACTACCATTCTACCTGGTTGAATTCATGGATATTTTGCTTTATCTATGGGCAGAGCAACTCTTAGTATCACGTAACCAAAGTTCAACGGTAATAGCTTCAAACCGGGAGGATTCTAGATTCATATTCGGTCATTGCATAGGAAAAAGAAGAGCAACCTTCAATATTTGCATTTTTTTTTTTCTTGAAGATTTGTGAAAAGAAGTTTGTCACGGCGATGTGGCCAGCCTAGTCTTAGCTAAAACTAATACATTAAACTGGGAACTGTTCACAATATTTGGGATAGCCACCCATCCAACTGATCCAAGAACAGGATATCGATCTTTTCAGACCTAGAATAAGAATTAAAAGGTTCTAGCTTGTTGGTGCTGAAACTACACCTGCTTAGCTAGCACCTTTGGCTCTAAGAGCTGATTCAACTAACATAAGGATTCAAATCAAATGCTGGTGTTAATTGAAGATCATATTTCATATTTGCTTATACAGTTTCTTGAACTAGCGATGTATATGGAAGATAATAATTTGTTTCCAGAAGAGATCTGCATATCAATGCACAATCTTTTTGCATACATTACAAGTCTCAGAACAGCTTCCTACAGAAGAGAACAAAGTTAAAAGCTAAAATCAGCATTCTTTTCCTTCGTAAGTGCCCTATACTAGGATTATAATGGCATGCTCTTTTAATATACTCATCTCTGTTCAAATTACAAAATCTTATTCTAGTTATCATTGAGAAGCATTAAGAGGAAAGTATGTCTCATCGCCTCCAGTGCTCCAGAGGAAAGAAGCATATTTGGAAGCATGCTCAGTGTTATTCGGTTCAATTGATAAAGCTTGCAGATATCTCTCTTCTGCACTCCACAAGTCCTTCCTTACCCTCCACAAGAAATCTGCGTAGTGACTGAATGCCTCAGCATCTGGTGGTCCAACCATTATAGCACGCTTGAAGCATTTCTCTGCCCTATTATGTTCCCAGATAATTGAGAAAGAAAAGGAAACAGAATCAGAAATCACATGATTGTCACAATATTTGATACCAGAAGAGAAATACTCTCTAGTTTAGTTGGTGGTGAAGGGGAAACCTTTCCGAAAGGCTTCTCAATCACCAACGTCTGTGGAAGATGAATTACATAAGACTCATCATGATTACATAATTCGGTAAAAAGGAGTTATGATAGTGAATGTCTCCATCCCTTCACTAATCGAAGGAAAGAACTAGGATTCATTTTCTTTGAGGAATCAAAAGGTCAAGGCAGCTAAATGAAACACTTCAAAAACTTCTCCATATCTAATTTTACTATGTTATAAGCATGTGGACCAATCTTATGCTGTTATGCAAGATACAATTGCTTTCAACTGATATCTAAAAATACAAGAAAAGGACTTGTAAAACACTGAGAGATTAAATTAAAGGGTAGGAATCTGGATCACCTGTCGTAGTCGTGACGAACTGTGCAGAGGAACTGCGCATAATTAGAAAGCAGAAGAGGGTTTTTTGGATCCTCAGCGATAGCCATCTGATAAAGAAGATCAGTTCTGTAATACTCAACATAATCACTCGGTTCAAGATCCACTGTTACACGTGATACGAACTGTTTCATAGTCTCACGAGCAAGAACCTCATATCCTGATTCCACTTGCATTCTTGAAGCTTCCTCTACCATTGCGTTCCACAGTACAGTCTCTTCCACCGAAACCATTTCTTGATTTCCGGACGAAGAAAACTCACCTGTCTCTTCGGGAACAAGGTTGGGATACCGAATAAAAGGTGATATTCTCCCAAAAAGCCAGTCGCCCCCTTCACTCCCACCGATGCTTCGGTCAACTTTCCCAGCACCACCGTTGTTATTTCCTACAGCATGATCAGCATTTGATTGTCCTTGGTCCATTTCGTCTGGAGTTGTGATAGTCTCTTGGAAGATTCTTGGTGATGGAGCAGCAGCAACACCTATGTTGCCAAACATTGAGTGTACAGTGAAATTGGCTAAAAGGAGCATCACATAAACCATGAGCGTTGGTGTCCGCGAAAAGACTTGTTGAAAGAGCCACACAAATGAAGCATTCAGTTCCGAGTGAACCTTTTCCAGAATCCTTCGAAAATCTTCACCGTGAAGACTCCCCCTTGTATATAAAGCATGGCTCTGAAGCTCTTGAATTATCAACACCATGGAAGCAAAAGCCCTCTTCACAGAGCAGTATGCAGAATTCCGCACAGCTGCAAAACCCTTTTGCCATTTTAACTTCCTCTTAAGCATCCTTAATGACAAGGGAATATCAACGCTATTTGCTCTCAGTTCAATGCTCATCCTTGCAATCTCATTTCTCCCTGGCCAATCTGGTGGCTCTGGTTGAATTCCAAGCAAACTAGGCTCCAGAAACTCAATCTTAGAAGGCAAAAACGAGTCGGAACTATTCCTTTTTTTGCTGCTTTCTCCATCATTACTTGTAGAAATATTAGAACTGTCTGATACTGCATAAGCAGTGTCGTTGTGATCATTTTCGTCATCATCCATAACATCATAACTCGCCAAATATTCAATCTCTTCGTTGTAAAACTCATCAATACTGTCACTGCAAGATCTTTTCAAACCATGACCTTTGAGATTCCTAGAAGAACCAAAAAGGATTGATGGATGGGGTAATAGACAAGCCAAACCTTGATTGCTTCCACCACCAAAATAAGATCTTGCAAAAACAGGTCTTCTACAAGTAGATGATAAAGGGGGAACTACGAGATGCAAGCTTTGCAAAATCTCCAGTCCCATTTGTTATTGGAGACTTAAAATTTTCTAACTCAATAGAAGAGATGGCTAAAAAAAACTCAAGTTTCTCTCACAGAAGGGGGGGGGGGGGGGGGAAGAAGAAAGAGAGACAAGATACAGCAATTTATAGTCAAGTCAAAAGTCCCATGTTGCCCGTGGAAAATCTTGCCTTTCTACATAAAATCAAAGGACAATCAAGTCCAGAAGGTCCTGTTGCTTTTAATTCAATCCCACCTGAAAACATGGCCACAAAGCTACCCATTAGATTAAAAATGAAAAGGAAAGGGAAAATGAAAATGAAAATCTCCTTTTCATGACATTGCTTTCACTTTCTCCACTCGCAGATTTTAATAATTGAAGAACTATGTAAACATGTCTAAACAAAAGTAACGAGGTTTTAATCACACTCACACACACACACACGAAGCTTACCAGAATTTTGATACTAAAAATGATAATCCTGTCATGAAACCTGTCAGGAATTATTTTTATCTCTTCTTGTACTTGGAGAAAGAGAGAGAGCTAGCTAGTACTAGAAGCAAGGGTGCTTGTCACAGAAGAGTATTTATTTTTTTCTATTGTAATATACTAGGTTTTTTTTTTTTTTGCTCCTCTCCCAAAAATTCAAAACTTTTCAGTATCTTTCTATTGGCTGTTACAGGTGAAGATTTTACGGGGTTCTAGTAACTTGCAGGAAATGGACACGTGTCCTGCGATACATGACACGTTGACACTTTTTATTTCTCGTGAGTTGCGCTGTAATATCGTTAGCGACATGGCTAAAGGCCTACAGCACACGTAGGAGTTTCGATACTGTTACACGTCTCTTGCTTTACCGAGTCAAGTGCCCTCGGCGGAGGGGATTTTAACAGCTTTTGCCTCTGGATCTTTTCCTTGACAGGCCCAAGCACCAAAAAACTGCTTCACGGGCATTTATATACAAGTGGCGAATTTTGGATGGGTTACAATTATTAATGGCCCAGTGATTAAGTGGTTATGAGCTTTGAAACTATTCTTGTAAGCATAATAGTATCAGGCCTGTCCTGAGTTTTAAAAGGCGAAGTGGCCCATCAAACATGGACTCCCAGATCTAGGACTGTCGTTTACCCCAAGGTCAGGTTTCCCGGAAATATGAACTGGCAGCAGAAATACCTTCGCAAAATGATTATAGATTGATGCCCGTCAATGTGTTTTGTGCTGGAATCAGATTGTCCTAGTCTAGTTTTTGTTTGTTTTTTAGTGTCTAATGGATCCATAATTAGCAGGGAGATAATTTCCTCTTTACAAAGGAACAAACTGCAGAATATTATACATCAGCAGAGCGAGTTCGTTTAGCAAGCGAACTTTACACAAGGTTATGATCTACATTTATACATTACAAAACACAAAAAGAAATTCAAAGAACAGAATTTGTTGATTCTGTGCTCGTCAGGTTTCGCTTCCATTTCCTGCTGTTGTGTGCCTTCAACTGCATAGATATGAAAGTATAGAAACCAGAAAACTAGTTGCTTATAGCTATAGTTCCGACTAGTTGAAATACTAAACAAAATGCCATTCAGTAAGCTGCCCTCTGACAAACTAACTAATCAAACCTTGATCTGTGCTCATTTGAAATAAACTGTATCAGTAAACAATATACCAAACAGGAATTAGGTGCCAATATCAAAGGATTACTTACAGGTGCTCTTACCCTCAATTTAATCCAAAGGCACGCTGTCTTCAAGTTCATGAAAAATAGCGACTTTCAGCACGAATTTCTCCTTGTTGATTAGCTCAAAGACACATACATCTCCTTCCTTCAGATTATTTTCCTGGGAAAATTCATTCCATCCTTTTGAGATACTCAAATAGCGACATTGGTTTCTATTGATTTGTATAGGCCACTCTCTTCCGTCAGAAACTTGAAGTTTAATACACCGAGGAGCATCGCTCATATGTCTTTGAGCAAATTCAAGTGGCACGTACTGCACCAAACAAGAAAAAATGAGAATTGAATATAAAATTTGAGAATTTCACGAGCTTATTCTATGCATGGCATACCAAAAAATGGTTATAGAAATTATATCGCCGCAATATAACCATGAAAGATGGACTTTTAGGCTTGAACATTCTGGCAGCATGAATTGCCCTCTTGCTTTTTTCCGATGCCTTCGCAAACCCACGAGGAGCAAATTCTATAGCTTCGCATTCTGGCAACAACTCGTTTTCACCTGCGATTAATGGAAAAAAGACATCATAGAGCATAATATCACACAAGGAATGTCGCAACAAATAAACAAAACAAAGAGCTCACCAAGTTTAGATTTTGATTTGCTTTTCTTGGCTTTGGTTTCTCCATGGGGGCCAGACATTCTATGTTTCTTCAATGACGTCCCTCTTCTTGATTCACTAGTATTATCTATATCGGTCATCTCAAGATACTCTTTCTTTACAGCTGTCTCTGATGATGGACCGTGCCCTTTGCTTGAACCCCCCTCTCTAGCATTTAGATTGAAAACTCTACTTTTCAGAGCACGACAATAATGGGTATCCAAGCTTTCAACAGAGCCTTCATCTTTCATTTCATCTTCATCATAGAATGAGCATTTTTCAGCATCATTCATCCCCTCACCTCCAGTTGGTCTCATACGTCGATACTGAATTTCACAAGCAGTCATATCAAATATAAGAACACTGAAATTGGAGTCGCCTCTATATCGAAAGACTACAAGGTAACCAGAACCAATAGAATGATGCTCCACAAACTCTTGCCAACCCTCATCAAACCAAATGTTGTTATGCTCTTTTGTTATTCCTACTTGCCATTCATTGCCATTGGGGACAGCAACTTTAGCAATATCAGAGAGCCCTTCCCCAAATTTCTCCACAAACTTCCTTGGAATTCTCTGCATGAATTTTTTCTTGAATTAGACTGGTGTCCCAGTGCAAATTATATTACAAGTAGAACAAAAGGTGCATCAAAGAGCATTTTTCAGCATCATTCATCCCCTCAATAGATGGCACGATAATAAATCTCGTTTCGAAAGCATTATAGTATATATAGTTTTCATTATAAAACGAACTCACATCGGCACATTTCAGCTACAATAGATGGCAGGGTATCATAAGAATTGTAAGTGGTTAAATACAAAACGATATATGCCATATGTAAATTATATCGATTACATTGAAATGCATCATTGAAATCCAAAGCCCTGAAGTCAAATCCTGTTTTTCCAACTACAGTCGATGCTTTATGATCAAAATCCTTATCAGGCACTTTACTTTTCCACTCCAATAATAACAGCGCCTTCTGAACAACTTTAAGCAGACATGATGAGATAGAGTCTTGTATTGGCCTGGGCTTGGAGGTTTTATAATAATGAAAAGTCTGTGCTTAGGCTATGGCCAATAGGCTCATGACCTGACATTATCAGCTAGGTCTCCTTTTGCGGGAAATCCATTTGTGATTATATATAAAGAGCTGGCATTTTGCTGCATTCAGCTGAAAGATAATTATATAACTTTCTGGAGGATGGCCCAATACAACAAAGATTCCTCACTATAGCTTCAAAATTCAAATTGAACTTTCATTATGCACCTGAACGCGTACGATTACGACTAAATCCCTGTTTTCTTTCCGTTTTTAAAAACAATACCCTTTCTTTTTTGTCCTTTTTGGACATGCAAAGCACAAACAATGGAATTGACTAGCTGCAGAATCAGAATGAACCAGGATTAAGGGTCACTTACTGATAATTTTTAATCTTCAGTCTTTTTACAACAATGAACTTGAATCCACAATACATTACCACATGCAAGCAAAGAAAGCGGAAAAAACGTGTAGTAATTAATTACCAGCTTCTTGTCTTTCAGTGTGCTAGGGAAGACTATTTTGAAGAAATGGCATAGCGGGCTCTCTATCTGAGAGTGTGACCGCAGGTCGCGGCTCCGGCTGGGCCCACCTTCCTTCCGAGAAGACATAGAAGGAGACAAAGGCAACTAGCTATGAGGAAATGCCGGTGCTGCCAGAGATCCCTTGACTTATACTGACACTGCTTCAATACGTGTTGTAACCTGAAAATTTGACAGTACAAGAGGCCCATTATCTCGGTTGATGTGTGCGCTAGTTGCCCTTAGATCATGCAAAATTACAATTATAAACCCAATTGGTTCCATTACGAACAAGCATGGACTAAACATGATTAAGATCCATTTATGAAATTTGAAAATGGCACGGGGGGTTGGGTACCAGTAATACTTAGATTCGATAATAAACCCTCACTAGCTACATCGACATTTTTTTACAAGTAAAGCTGTCAATGAAAAAAATTATTCATATTAGATTTTAGATTGAATGATTTTAATGCATATTAAAAATATTATATTTTATATTATAATTTATTTTTAAATATTAGCTCGATATTCTCTAACGGGAAATTATAGACGAAGCTCAAACAATTGCTTTGAGTTTGATACCATACTTTCAAAAATAAATGCCTTTGGGTCCATAAAATTAATGGAAATTATAGATAAAATAAATTTAAGCATTATTAATAATCAGTTGTTTGAATCAACTCGAATATAATATTTAACCAATCAAATCACGTGTTTTGCTGGCTTCCTTCTCTAGTTGTTAAAATAGTTCGGAATCCTATTTTGATGTATTATATGTACATGGGTAGCTAAATTAATCAAATATTAGATTTACATTTTAAGCATAATATATACAAGCCGTCTCAAAAACTGTATTAATTAAAAAAATAATCTCAAACAATCATTTAATCAAATTATAAGCACTTATCTGATAATAAAAATTTCGATTGCAATCAGAAAGGACATTAATACGAAAAACACCTTGAAGCCAATACAGAGTCGTTTCAACAAAAACTATAAATGTGCCTCGTCACAATTAAAAATCCAAAAAACAGATGCTGAACAAAACAGCCAAATCATCCATTTTCTCACATAATGCAACATCTAGAAATCACCGCCCCAGCGAAGGATGCTGCGAGATGCCAAATCTAGAAAAACAAAAAATTGGTGAATAATATTTTATGAACGTGCCTTGTGGATACTATTATACGCATAGACATTATAAACACGATGCCAGAAATAGAGGTAAATGAAATTGAAAAAACAACATTAATAATTTATAGTTAAATACGATAAGAAAATTGTCTGAATATAATTTTTTATTTCTAAATTTATCATTTAAATATTGAAGTGCAGAATTGAGTGTGCGTCAGTGTCACTTCGATTGAGCATGAAGCAAATTAAAGAAAATTAGTTTGATTAGATTATAGTGTATTTCATGCCCCCAGTGATCATGAAATTAGGCAAGTAGTACTACTAAAAGGCAGAAACTTACATTTCCTTGATGTGGATTGTAGAGGACAACCTCGTGTCTTACAGGTTCGGGGAGCCGTTTCGTGATAACCTCTGGGGTTGGAGCCTGCAACAAAAAAAGATTATTAATAAATTGAGAAATTTTGAAAAACATTTAAACTCCACTCATAATTTGAAATTAAAAAATGCAACAGCAACTGGGTTTACATTCTTCTTTCTTTCTTCTACTCTTTTCTTCTCAGCTTCCAGCTTCTTCTTCTTCCACTCTCTTCTTCTCAGCTTCCAGCTGAAGCTTCCTCTTTGCAGTGTTCTTCTCTTTCAAAGCATCCAACCTCTTGGTTTCGAGGAAAACATAATTATCCAAGAATTTCTTGTGACTGTGCACGTATCGTCCCTGTTCGCAACATGCACAGCAGAGATTGAGGGTCGTATCCTCATGATCAAAGCATTCCATGCAAGAGAGGAAAATTCCCTTCATAAATTCACCGCAACCATCGCAGAATTTTCTTCCACTCTCAATAATGTAGCAAAGTGTCATTGCTTCCATTAAATCTAGTCTGCCAGTTCCGTTTTTGTTTAGCTCTTTGGAGAAGCTGGGACTTGCTATCTCTCTGCGGCCCTCATTCTTAAGGAATGCCAAGAACTCGTGAAGACTTATCTGGCCATCATCATCCATATCCATTCTCTTGAAAACTCGGTGCCCAAGACCTTTATTATCAATATTGGCTGTTTCGTAATAGGCCTTTGCAATTTTGTACAACTCATCCATTTCTAATACGAAACAAGATTGGGAAAAAAGTTTAGTTTATCTGTAGCAACGAAGGAAGACTTCTATTATCCCTATATATCATCATATAATCGGCGGCTGCTTCGTCTTCCACCACAGTTTAGTACAATTAACTCACTTTATTGTTTTCTTTTTTCAATAAAGTATATCATGACTCTTCGTTTTCATCTAATTTTCATTGAATGGATTATTTATTATTCCAATGTCCCAGGTCCCTCCCTCCCTCTCTCTCTCTCTCTCTCTCTCTCTCTCTCTCTCTCTCTCTCTCTCTCTCTCTCTCTCTCTCTCTCTCGATGCAACTCGACAATGTGTGTTCGTTAAGGGACGGAATAGAGATAGGACCACATTTCCACTATATACAAGAAGAAGAAGCTTGTTGGGTTCTCCTCCTTCCTCTATATATCATCATATAATTGGCGTCTGCTTCGTCTTCCGCGACAGTTTAGTACAATTAACTCACTTTATTGTTTTCTTTTTTCGATAAAGAATATCATAACTCTTCGTTTTCCTCTAATTTTCATTGAATGGATTATTTATTATTCCATTATAATAGAGCGGCCGAGAGCATTGTAGCCGAGATACATTCATTCTCCTCCGATGTACTGGAAGCATAAACTGCCCAACTCGATGCTGGAGTGACAACTTACACGTGCATTTTTATTTCGGCCATCCATGTCTGCAAGTCGTGGGCCAAGTTGGCTCAGACAAAGCACACCAGTACTTTAGTGAGAATAAGTATTACAGTTGCTCCAGTAAATCATCATATGCGGTAGTTAAATGATAAGAATTTAAAGGTCTGCAAGTCGTGGGCCAAGTTGGCTCAGGCAAAGCACACCAGTACTTTAGTGGGAAAGAATAAGCATTACAGTGGTCAAATGATAAAAATTTGAAATTAAGAAATTTGTTTTTTTTTTTATTTTAAATTCGAATCCTTGATTGCTCATATAATGATCATTAGAGATTTACATGGTTGCTCATATGATAGTCACTGGAGGCTTGTATAGTCGTTAACTTTAAAGCCCGTGAGATTAATTATGGTACACACAAGCTAGCCCGAACATCCACATTAAGCATTTCAATTCCAACTTCCATGTGATTATTAACTTTAAAATCTATAGAATTAATTATGATACACGCAAGCCAACCCAGACATTCACATTAATCTGAAGAGTATTACAGTTCCAACTTCCATGTCACATGTGTACGTGTCTTCAATGAGCATGGGTTTTCTGCCTTGCTTCTTTTTTTTTAATTCCAAATTCAACGTCCAGAAAACATACTCTTGTAATTTTGACTAGTATTTTTTTTTTCCAACATTGACTCGGTACAATAAAATATTTAGCACTCGGTGAATGACATGGAAAGATTGACCAGACAGGCTCCTTGATTAATTTGACTAATTAGTTATGATTCTTAACATGAAAATGGCAAGATCTCCTAGGATTATTTTCTCAAATGTGTATTAATTCGTTGGACGACTGTTGACACGAGTGAGGTGTTCAATTCTTGTGTTGGCCGCTGCCTCATCAACTTGAAAATGTAAGAGTGAAACGATCCAGATGAAAATGATACGTCACAGATTTTTTTTTCTCAAGTTGGATTTGAACCAAGTTGTTTGATGAAAATGATACGTCACAGATGACATTTTTTATCCAGAAGTTTGACGTGCTGATTTAAATTACAAATATTGTTGGTTGGATAAGCTGCGGGATAAAAAAGTTTTAGATATAATTTTTTTTTTATGTTTGTAAATTTTTTTATAGTAAAAAATTTAAATTTTATAAAAAATAATTTGATATAACCTTATCAACTTCACCTGTTAAAAATAACTCAGATAATTATTAAATATATAATTCGATTTTAAATAAATATTTTAAAAAATATTAAAACGATAATATATTATATTGATTAAAGTCAACCTGTTAATTTCTTTACATACTAATAAGATTATGATAACTTAATAAAAAATAAATTATAAAATTTAATTTTTAATAAATTTAATGTTTAATAATGAAATAAAAATAATTAAAAAATAATCCAAGTTAATTTCTAATTAACCTACTAAAACCTAGAACTTAACATATGGGATTGAATAACTCAAGTTAAAGCAAATTATAATATTTAATTTTTAATAAATTAATATGAAAAGAATTAATTAAAATTAAAAGTCAATTAAAAATACATAAAAATAGCTCCAATCAACCCATATTAATTTGTAAAATTTTATGAATTTAAGTATTTGATAAATCTAATATTAAAAGATAAAATTAAAATTAATATATATATAAACTACTCAAGTGAATACTATTTTATGAATATGAATAAAATAAATTTAATGTTAAAAAATATAAATATAAATATAAATTTTAAAAAATTATTCGAAGTATGAAGATGAATAGTATTGTTTTTTGTTAATCTGCTTTTTTACGTTATCTTGGATTAGAAATTCATGATGAATGTATAACATCGAGTAACATGTCTGTCAAATAGTTTACAGAAAAAAATTCTTTACTTGTAAAAATCAACAGAACATGTCGCTTGTTTTTCTTTTTTCAAAACATGGATAATTACTTTTGCCGAAAACCAGACCTCTTCAAGACCTCATGTCTGTTTTTGAATTGTTAAAAGACAGCGGTAGTAGTTACTTTCTTTCAATTGAGTTTGTTTTTAATTTAGTTAGATTTGAATATATATTTGGTAAAAATTATTATTAAAATTTATATATATTTAGTAAAAATTATTATTAAAATTCATGAATGTAAAAAATATACATAAAATATTTGATAATTATATAATTATGATTTTATAAAAAAAATATTTTTAACTTAAAAATGTATTAAAATAATTTTTTTATTTTTAAAAAATTATATTTGAAATATTAAATTTTATAAAATTTAATTACAAAAACATGGAGATAAAAAGATGTAAAAACTGCAACTTAGAAACTCCATTTTAAACTTATTTTTTTAATAAACATTATAATAAAAAAATGCAATTTAATATGTTACAGACACCTTACTACTTTTTGCCTCGCAAATACAAAGGCTGCCAGTAAACAAAAGCAGCCAAGTTCTTGCAATTTCTTTCTTTCGTGTTCGAACTCCGATACAAATTAAATAACTGGTTTTTTCTAATTTATCAAATACTCGTGACAGGTTAACACGAAACTTGCTGCAACCGATTATCATCTGGAAGACTAGAAAGGTTCACAATTTCTTCAGAAGATAATGATTTTAGACCCTAGAAATATACTTCAATCGACGCTACAAATTTTCAAAGAATAATATTATCAAAATTTCTATAATATCAAATATATTGATGGTACAAAAAAATAGGAAAAAAAAAAGAAAGAAAGAAGAAAAAACAATGCAATGAATAACTGTATAATAAAAAAAAACTATTAAATCGGACTCAGTGGAGTCACCCACCGATTCCATCCCCAATACCTTCACTGCTTCCTCCGACTCCGTCTCTCCATCCCACTATGTTGTCGATGACCCCACGACTCTCCTAAAAAGGTCTTGGCAGCATCCAAACTCGGAAAATAAGTGGGTTCAAGGAACAGCTGAGTCAACGAGTCACAACTCTCGGAACTCACCAAAACCCCATTCCCTTTGGCCTCCAAACTCCCCATAACAACAACCAACACCTGTTTATACGCATAAAAGAACCGCTTCAAAGCACCCTCAATTGCCTGTAAAGCCTGAAGCAAATAAACCTTCTCAAACTCCCTTTTCTCACTGTACAACCTCATGGCTGCTTCTTGTATCCTGGGCCCACCTTTAGGGTCCACTTCAACGCCTAAAATCTCCGGTACCTTATGCTTCAATTCCTTGCACGATTTGGTTATCTCCACCAATTCTCTCGATCTGAAACAAAACGGAGCCGTTTCGTCTAGCGATCGCATTTGTAACTGATTTTTTAGCCTCAGGAAATCATCTGGATCCATCAGTAGATGCAAGTCTTCAATTTCTGCTAGAAGTTTCCAGATTCTCTCGACTAGATAACAATCGTTTGCTGCTCTTGAAAATTCCTTGCTTTCGATTCTTTCAGTTACGCGCTGGATTATTTGTTTTGCCACGTGGATCCATGACTCTAAGATTTGATGCGTGTTATACACTGACTGGTTCTCCTGGTTGTTTATGTGATCGTAAGGACTCTTTTTGAGGGCGTGGATTTCGTTCGGCCTGCAAACAGCGTCGTATTCAAGGTTTGGCTTGCCGGTTAGGTTTGGCTCGCCGAGACCTAGTGTGTACGGGCACCGTCTCATCTCGCACTCGATAGAGTACAAGATTTTCTGAGCTACATCTTCTGATGTCTGCCACGTTGCAAGCCTGGGCAGCAGACTTGCCTCGCTGGTTTTACTGACCACTGTAGTTTCACCTGGAACCTTCCAGACCTCCGCATAGCTTCCATCTCTAACCAGAACACTGTTCGCTGAGCTCAAGTCAACGATCGGAGCCGTACCACGCGTTGTGCTACCTTCTGCCTCGTCTTCGATGATGATCGCAATTAACTCAATCTGAGAGGTGGTGAGTGACTCGATCCTACGCGTCAATTCTCTCCGATTCGCGTATGGTCTTGCGTCTGAAAAAACCGTTGAAATGAACCGGAAAGTGATTTCTAGAGCTTGCAGGGCTGGCTTTAGAATAGACTCTGTTTTCCAATTAGGGAATTCTTTGCTGTTCCATATCTGATGCAGCTCTGGGAGGCGGAAGCAGTGCTCGTAAGCTGAACAAGAGGAGTCGGAAGCAGGAGTCGGAGTGATATTCGAGACGCCACGAAACGGAATGGCTGGGATTGAGATTTGGAGTTTGTTGGAGAGTTTTGGGGATTTGTTTGGGAGATCAGAGGATACCATCTTTGCTTTCCAATCTAAATCAACCATTTTTTTTCTTTTGCTTTGGAAGAAATGGAAGTGGAAATTAAACGGAATTCGTTGTGTTTTTTTAGCCTTTCGAGTTTTGTTTTTGTGGTGAGAAAATTGGCCGGGGTTGTGTGTGTATATATATAGAGAGAGGGGAGTTCGCCAGTTGGAGCTTGGAGGGATTAAGCCGTCTTGAAAGTAAAGGGGAGGCTGGGAATTTGAGTTTTTAAGTCGTGGAGATAGAATTTTAATTGTTTAATTGGATTTCTTTTATTTAAAAAAAAAAGGAGTTGGGAAAATTCGAAAGACAAAGAGAAAGAGAAAGGACATAAAGCTTATCCATAAGGACCTAACGTGGAAGGTGTATCGGGTGGGCAAGGCATTCAATAAGGAAACTGCGTTTTCTTGGATTATTCTAGCAAAAAGAGGTTGGCAGTGGAACGGTTCCAATGTCTGACCTTGGTCTTTGGCTGGCTATTTTGTTCAATTAAATCCGCCTTTGATTCTGATCTTCTAATGCGAGTCTTGTTTTCCCCTAGTCAGTACCTCCAATCACGTGCTGCCCAGGTGATTTTTTGATTTGACTCCCACTGCTTTAAATTTTGAAGTTCTATATGAATAAAAATGCTCATTTAGAGGGAACAATTATACGGCACTCGTAAATACACTCTTCTCGTATTTACATGTTATTGAATTCAGACCAGTGTGTAATTAAAGAAAAGTGTGGTATAAGTTTTGTAAATATTTCGAGTGCGGGGTATTAGTTTGTTCAAGGACGTGTTTGGTTTTAAGCAAAGTAAGTGGGGGATTGATATGGTAGTGTAAAGTATTTTTTGAAAGTGTTTTTCGTTTGAGTATATATTGAATTTTTTTATTTTTAATATTAGAATGTCAAAATTATTAAAAAAAAACAAAAAAATTAATTTAATAATTCTTCATATTAAAATACACTTTTAAAACATAGTTAAACACAATCCTAAAAAAATGTAAATATCAAAGAGTCAATATTTAATTTTTTTTTATTGTATGCTTAATTTAGCATATTCGTTTTTTTAGCAGTTGAATATAATCCACGAATTAACATCTAAGGAGGGCGAGCGACAGGAACCTCCCGCTCTCATCAAAACAAAAATCTCTTCCTAATTACCAACCACGAAATTACGGTATGCTCCCTACCCTGCAGTTACCGTTTTGATCATTGACCTTAATTTTCCACCGGTCAAGATTACTGTTCAACTTGAAATAGTAACCGTCACCGGGTAGACATCAAGTGTTTTCTGACCCTTTTAAGATCTATAATCGCAGCAGAGCCACTGTCCGGGTTTTTAGAGGAAAAG